GTGTACCTCAGCCTCAGATTCACGAACTTCCTCTTCGACCTCGCTAATTTCCGTTTCACCGGAGGAAGAAAACGAGGCGAGCTTCGGGAACCGGAGAGAACGAGGACGAAGTGAAAACTTGGAGGAATTGATGCAAGAAATGGTAGCGTGAGAGGTTCTAAAGGATACAGATAAGGGTTTAAGGGTGGATTTGGATGAGGAAATCGTGGATACAGTTGCCGGAGGAGTTGCCTGAAAAAATGGAGTTCTGAGAACCGTCGCCATGAGAGAATTTACAGAGGAAAGAGAGAGATAAGGGTAAGGAGGAGAGGAAGAAAGTAGGACGTTCGAGAAAGGTTTGGTGAGAAATTATATTAATATTATTAATTTCCCAATTTTCTTTTTTCCAACAGTTATGAAACCATGTGGGGTTAGGTTAACTAACTGACAATGGTTAAGAATTAGTGATGAATTAAATAATAATAATAATAATAAAATCTCATAATTTTTTAATTTTTTTATCAAAAGAAATGGTTCTTAATACATTTAAGAGTTTAAAAACAAAAAATAAAATTTTATAATTTTGAAACTTATAGTTTATGTAACGGCCTAGATCCACTTATGGGTTTTCCCTTTCGGGCTTCCCCTCAAGATTTTAAAACGTGAATGCTAGGGTGAGACATCATAATCCACCCTCCTTTGGGGCCATCGTCTTTCGGGCTTCCCCTCAAGATTTTAAAACGTGAATGCTAGGGTGAGACATCATAATCCACCCTCCTTTGGGGCCATCGTCTTCGTTGGCACTCTTTCCTTCCTTCGGGGACCAGCGAGAATGCTAGGGTGAGACATCATAATCCACCCTCCTTTGGGGCCATCGTCTTCGTTGGCACTCTTTCCTTCCTTCGGGGACCAGCGAGAAGGCTGACACATCGTCTGGTGTCTGGCTCTGATACCATTTGTAACGGCCCAGATCCATCGCTAGCAGATATTGTCATCTTTGGGCTTTCCCTATCGAGCTTCCCCTCAAGGCTTTAAAACGCGTCTGCCAGGGGAGGTTTACACACCCTTATAAATAGTGGTTTGTTCTCCTCCCCAACCAATGTGGGACATCACTGTTCACTCGTAAATTAAATATGAGTTTATACAGGAAAAAGCGTGAACTTCTCTCCCTGTGGCAATCACTAAAAAAAGAGGGTTAACCATCGGTTCATTGGATTCTAGGTCGGATGGATCCAGTGCATGATCCGTAGGGGGTTTTTATCATCAACAAAATTTCTTCAAACTCTTTCCTCTTCTTGCTGTCCCCATGAGGCGGAGCTACCGCCGGTATTAGGGGCCATAGTCATCTCTGATGATCCCACCATAATCTGAATTTTCAAAGAGGACGGACATTCCCGACCCACCAAGCGAAACCATTAGTTTCTTAGTCACGACCAGCTACACATTGTATTCAATATGTCACAGAATTTTTTAAAAATATATTTAATGTATTCCTGAAATTTTAATTTTGGATATGTGAATTTAAAAATATTATTTAAAAAAAATATATTTAATGTATTCCTGAAATTTTAATTTTGGATATGTGAATTTAAAAATATTATTTAAAAACATTTATTAGTCAATTTTTTAAAATAAAATTTTAATTTTAATAACCTTAAAAAAAAAAAATTAATGAATGAGATATTATAATGAAAGAACTTTTAACAATAATTAATTTTTATTCAAAAAAAAAAAATTAATGAATGAGATATTATAATGAAAGAACTTTTAACAATAATTAATTTTTATTCCTTTTTATTTAAATGTGACTTGTTATGTTACCATTTCAGTAATTGTTGCCTCATTTAGAGCCACAAAGACCATAAGATATTAAAAATTATCTCTCTTTATTTTTTCTAAAACAATATAGGGAGAAAAAAAAGGCATATGATACGTTGTCGTAGCTGAAACGTTTGTGAAGCCAAATGGCAGAGATTTCCGTTGAGAATGGAAGAGGAAGTGGAGCGAGACTTCCGTCTCCGTTAGATAAATGGGGTTGGAGGAAGTGTATGAACTACTTGGTAGACTCACGTTCACACGTGTGGGTTATGTGTACGGAAGTACTACACATCTAATTTTGTTTATACTGGAGACCTCCTCTATGATGGTTTTAAATGATAGGTCCCTAATCACATCTTGCATGTGTTTGCATACCCTAACCTCAATAGTAAGGTCATTTACTGAATAATTCTTAAAATACTCAAATCGTGCGCTACTTTTATTTTTCAGGTAAAGGCAAGACACTTATGTACGTACGGCTGACGACAACATCACAAGTAAAAACTATGACATATGCATAGGATAGCAGTATTTAAATTATTAGATTATAAGTTAGTATAGAGTGCGGTCATTTTCAATATTTATTTAGTTTTATTTAATATTTCGTTTGTATTATTTTACAGACCTTCATTTAAAACATGTAAGTTCATAACGTTGTTTCACGAATATGTTTTAAATGTTTATTTCCGTACGAGAGATTATGTTATGAAGATGATAGCAACGGTAGGTTAGTAAAGATCTTGGGTCGTTACAATATTATTTTATGTCAAACTAGATGAGTCAATTCCAACCGTAGAATACTAATTTATAATTGTGGAACTCTAATTTTAATAATTATTTTATGAACAATTAGGTTTAATTAGTTTAAATGATTAGAAGTAACTTTAAATTATTTTATATTAAATTAAGTGAGCCAATTCCGACGTAGAATGCTAATTTATAATTGTGAAACTCTTTCGGTAATTAAATTTCAGAGAGCAGCATTAAGCTATCATTAATTAAGCTATCATTAAGGGATCATAGTAGCTTCGACCTAGGTCAACCGTGTAAGTGGTTCTATTATCGATTCGGTCGGAATACTTGTTTTATGTATGATTACACATGTCCCATGACCCTTACATGTGTCATGTATGTTGATATGTTGTACTATGATGACATGATATATTATAATGAATGTTATGATGATGCATTATACTATGATACGTTATGATGATTACGCATTATGATATGGTGACACGAGTGTATGATGATGATATGACATAGTATAATGACATGGTGATATGTACCATGTTTCATTTCAACGCACCTAAATTTTAGTCTCTGAATCGAGCTTAATGTCACATTCCCTCTTACAAAGTTGTTTCGTAACACGCACCAATTGATAATATTATATGAAAAATACCTCCAAAAGGAAGAAGAATTAAGGATACATAGAAAAATTTACCGAGCAAAGAGAAAAATAAGGGTACATGTCTCAAACCCTAAACCCTAAACGTCGTGTTCTAATATGTCTCAAAAACTTACATTTTCTAGGTACGTGAATATCAAATATATGGAATAAATTCTTATTAAACACGAAATTAAATTTTTTTGGAATCTAATGTTATTTTTTAACTTAAGGGCTCGTTCATACCACTTAAATTTTAAGACCCAATAATTATTATTTTTTTCTTTCTTTGTATTCAAATATTATTTGATTGTTATCTTACCATTTTAATCATTGTTGACCCTAAATTTCTACTTATTCATAGTCGTTACTAACCTCTCATGCTCTGCACTAGTATAGAGTGTCGTACAAAGGAAGTAATATTTTCACCATTGTCGGGACCCAGCTTTAACTTTAAAGGTACATACTCGGGACTACTCCAAAGGTAGTCTTAATGATGAAAGCTAAGAGACCAGTTCAACAAGAGGGTTGAATAATATTAGCATGTCTCATAGATGCAAGAGGAAAGGAAAAGACCCTAGACACCGTACTAGTGAATGAATTTCTAGACATCTTCCCAGAAGACCTACTAGGAATATCCACTTTCCTATCGCATGATGCCAGCTGAGTTGAAAGAACTTAAGGCGCAATTATAAGACCTACCGGACAAAGGCTTCCTTCAACCTAGCATATCCCCTTGGTGTGCGCTGGTGTTGTTTGTCAAAAAGAAGGATGGATCGATGAACTTGTGCATCGATTATAGAGAACCAAATAAGAGAACAATAAAGAATAAATACCTCTGCCTCGCATAGAAGACCTATTTGACCAACTTAGGGAGGTGATGGTATTCTCCAAGATAGACCTTCAGTTAGGGTACCATCAAATTAAGATTAAAGATACGGATATACCAAAAACAACATTTAGGACAAGATAAGGTCACTACAAGTTTGTAGTCATGTAGTTTAGCTTCACCAACGCTCTAGCTATCTTTATGGAATTAAAGAATCGAGAATTCAAGGACTTTTTGGACACGTTTGTTATCTTGTTATAGATGAAATCCTAGTATACTTGAAAACGGACCAAGAACACCTCCGAAAAGTTCTAACCATCCTGAGAGAGAACAAGTTGTACGTCAAGTTCTCCAAATGCGAGTTTTGGCTGCGACAAGTCTCATTCTTGAGACATGTGGTATCAAATGATGAAATATTCATAGATCCAACCAAAATCAAAGAGGTTACCAAGTGAGATGCCCAACTACATTTACAGAGGTACTGAGTTTTTTGGGATTAGCTGGGTACTATTGAAGATTCATGTAGGACTTTGTTAAGATATCCTTGCCACTTACACAACTAACGAGGAAGGGCGTACCATATACATGGAACGATGCACGTGAGGCAAGTTTCCAAGACCTAAAATAAAGATTGGTAACAGCCCCAGTGCTCACGGTACCTGAGAGCTTAGAGGGATACTTGATCTACAATGATGCTTCTGAGAAAGGACTAGAATGTGTGTTGATGCAACATGACAGAGTCGTTGCATACGTATCCCGTCAATTAAAGGAATACGATAAGAACTACCCTATGACCTAGAGTTTGTCGCAGTAGTGTTTGCATTAAAGATCTGGTGACATTATCTGTATGGAGAGAAAACCCAAATTTACACTGACCACAAGAGTTTGAAATAGTTCTTCATGCAGAAAGAGTTGAACATAAGACAAAGAAGGTGGTTAGAACTGGTGAAGGATTACGATATAGATATCCACCCTAGAAAGGCAAACATGGTCTCTGACACCTTAAGTCGAAATACAGCCCACTCGTTGACCATCATTATGAGAGGAGTACGAGTACAAATGTAACGACTCAAGCCCACTGCTAGCAGATATTGTACTCTTTGGGCTTTCCCTTTCAAGCTTCCCCTCAAGTTTTTTAAAACGCGTCTGGTAGGAAAAGGTTTTCACACCCTTATAAAGGGTGTTTTGTTCTCCTCCCCAACCGATATAGGATCTCACAATCCACCTCCCTTCAGGACCCAACATTCTCGTTTGCACTCGTTCCTTTCTCTAATCGATGTGGAACCCCTACCAAATCCACCCCTTTGATGTCCAATGTCCTTTGTAGAAAATGTATTTTGCGTCAACAATATATAATATATTTACTATTCATATGTACCATTAATTTTTACCTTCAACTTCAACTCCCTATATATTTACTTAAAATTCACTCAAGACATAATAAGAATGTATTTACTCTTTGTTTGGTTGGAAAAAAATTAAAAGATAAAATATTTTATGGAAGTATTCATTTATATCATTTATATGATATATATATTAAGATGGAATTTAGAATTACATGTTCCAAACACTAATTTTAACCGAGCTCACTCCAAACATCAAGTCACAAAATTTATTTAGATTTAAACTAGTAACTTCATACGTACATCTAGATCTTATTCGAAAGAGTTTGATGTTAAAGTATTTTCGAATTTAGGGTTTTGAACGTAATAGAATTTGTTAAAGTTTTGGAACAAAGTCGGTGCATTATTCAAAGTAAAATTTATATTCTAAAGAAAACACTTTTATTTGACAAACATTTTTGCAAATAATTCGTTTAATTTCTTTTATAGAATAGAAATCTATGTTTACTCTGAGTTTCAAAGAAAATAATCCTAAAGTAAATTTAATTATATTCGAAGTTATCTATAAAGCTTGATAGTTTGAGACAGCTATGAAAGCACTATTCCCAGACGTTGAAGTTTAAGAGGAAGAAGGAGGGGTACCATAAGTCTATATAAAGTCGTCGAAAGCAAAGCATAACAAAGCAGTAGTATTGTCGAGGTGTTACGTCAAGCATCAAAGTTAAAGATGAGTTTTATGGGGGGAAGTTTGCAAGTGTGTGAGAATTTACCTGCGGAAGGAAGTTGTGCACAGATCGGTAGAGATTGCATTGGAGGAGATTGTCAAGCAGATGAAAGAAGTTGTGAGGTTCGACGGTGTGGTGTGTGTTAGCATGCAAAACATTCTTGACGGGGTCGTTTACCGCATTATGGCGAGGTTGAAGTCCAAAATCAATGACATATGGGTTGTTCAAATCTATACGGCCGACATTTTCGTTCCACGTGATGGCCCTTGGGAATGCAAATCTTAATGAATAGATGAAATTGGCTAAGAATATTTATGAACATAATAACTGTGAATAATAGATTAAATTGGCCAACAATACCAGTAAACAGAATAAAAGATAATGAAAACATTCTAGGGAGAACCGGTAGAGAAAGTAAAGAAAAATATAAAAACACAGAAAACATAGTAGAATTAAAAACACAGAGAGAGAACAAAAAACCGAATATCTGAAAAGTAATTATAAAATATATTATGAAATTATAGTATCTAATAAATTGTATGTCAGCGAACATTGTATTATTATACATATTTATATCCCAAGAAACATTAAATCTAAATGGAAAGATTAAGAATTTGTTAAATACTTAATAAAATTTGGTAAACAGATGCCTTGGCATAAGTGAGAACGAATTCGAGGGACGAAAGCAAGCTAATTTGGAGTTAAATAGAACTTCAGGTAAGGCTATCCAAGTAAGTGGCCTTACTATCGACATAGTTATATTTGATATTTACACGTGCCCTGTGGTTCTGCATGTGTCATAGTGAATTGTTTATGGATCGATATGCTTATGATATGATATGTGTATGTTATAATATGTGAATTGTATGATAATAGTTATGCTACGATGTGTTCAATGATATGTTTGAGATAAGATACGAGAAGGATGCACTGAACGTAATGTAATGATAGGAATACGATACGTTCATAAAATCTTAAGGTTAGGTTACGTATTGAAGTGCAATGGATATGAGAGATTGACAAAAACGATATGATCACGATCGATTGATAAAAGAATATGAAAGGTTATGAGTAGAAAGGGATAGAATTATGATAGATTGATAGACCGATAGCATTAGAATACGTTCCTATAATGATATGACTAAGGTATGTTCATGTAACGTTATGACTGTGATAGATATAAGAATGCACGAAATGTTTATGATATGATATGATTATGATACGACATGTGAATGACGGATATATATATATATATAATATGATATAGTTATGCAATTTGAATGATATAATGTGATTGACATGCAAAATGGCGAACTAGCATGAAATACACCCCCGACATATGCATGAAAGATATGATAAACGATATGTAAAATGATATGAAAAACGATATAATCTGTACGAAACGCTAGTGGGGTTGTATTAAATGATAATTAAAATGGAAAAAATGTTGGGGTATCATGCATTATTGTGTGCTCATACATTGGGGGATACCCCTTACCCTTCACAATATTACGAACACGTACGTTACGAGGCAGAAAAATGATCATTATGATTATCATAATATTGTGATAACCAAGCAGGAGAACGATCATTATGTTTATCATAATGCTGTAATGATTAAGCAGGAGAACGATCATTATGTTTAACCTAATGCTTCCATGAGGGTTACTAGTTCTAACGGGTGTCCGGTCTAAGGAGCTCCCAAAGTATGCTCGTCCAACAAGGAAAATGGTTAAGCGGTGTGCGAACTAACTGGTGAGTCCATACTCGCACGTATGGGCTGTGTGTAGAGTATATGGTATACATCCAAGTTACCCGTTAAGATAGTGCCGTAGGAAAATAAACTGATATGATAGGTCTTGTCATTGCATTCGCATGTTCTTGCATTTAACCCCAATAGTGGGTCACTTATTGAGTATTTCTTTAAATATTCAAGCCAAGTATTGCTTTTATTTTAAGTTAAGGCAAGACATTCCTGTACGGCTAACGACGATATCGAAACTCGAGACCATGACACATATATATTAAACTTGATAGTTTGAGACAGCTATGAAAGCACTATTCCCATATGTTAGAGTTTAAGAGGAAGAAGGAGGAGTACCATAAGTCTATATACAGGTGAAGGTAATAGATAGTTTGTCCGAAGTAAAGCATAACAAAGCAATAATATATAAGAGTTACGTCATCCACGAAAGTTAAAATGAGTGTTTTGGGTGGACAAGAAGGCAATTATAACCTTGGATGCTTCCAACCGTGTAAGAATTTACCTTGTGAATTTCTGCAAAGATTGATAGATTTTGTATTGGAAGTGATTGCCAAAGAGATCAAAGCAGATGTAAGGTTGAACACTGTGGTGTTTATTACTAGCAATTCGTTCGATTACGACATTAGAGTGGAGGTGTGGTCCAAAATCAATGACATATGGGTTCTTCAGCGCACGTTTTCATTCCACGTGATGGCCCTTGGGAATGCAGATCTCTCGAGCTTATCCAACCCAATTAACTCTCTCTCCCTACTTACTCTAATACGAAATGGATGATGCATAATTCTATATGCTCTCTCATCGATCAATAAAATAAACTTAGTTACCTATATCTCTTTTTCAATTCAGCCTGTCTATCCTTTTGTATCTCTTTTATATATAATAGATCAAAATTTGTAATGGCCCAACAAATAAAATAAAATGATTAAAATAAAATAAAATAAGTTAATTGATTAAGGAGGGAACGGTTTCATCTCCCTCGTGTCTCAACCAATCTTTTCAAACCCTTGTTATGTCCTGCAACAAAAAGGAAGAAAGGAGAAAAAAGAGAAATGTCTCAGAGATGTTGGAGATTTAGAGTAAGTTATATCACAGATCTCCTTTTTCTTTTATCGTAATTTCATTTTTAGAAAATCATCAATTATATGTTTGGTCTTCTCTAACTTGTTGCAATTGTTTAGCTTTTGAGTTTGAAATGAGATGTAAATACTAATTCTAGCCAATAATGTTAGATCTCGCCAAATTATCAATAATGTCAGATTTGGCCAAAGGCATCGATTGTTCATAGATATTGTTGGCCAATTTAATCAATTCATTTGGTCAGCAATATCTCTAAACCCAATGTATGTGACAAAATAGAATAAAATGAAAAACACAGTAAACAGAATAAAATGAAAAAACAGATGGAGAATAGAACACAGACAACATAATTGAATCAAAAACAGATAGGGAGAACGAGAGAAAGAAAAGGAAGATCTCAAAAGTATTAAATTGTTAGCCCTAGTGAATATAATAACAAAAATATTTATGAAAGTAATTATCAAATATGTTATGAAATGATAATATCTAATAAATTGTATGGCAGTAGACATTGTATTGTTAGACAGATTTATATCCCAACAAATATTAAATCTAAATGTAAAGATTAACAAAATTTAGGAATTAGAATTACAGAAAGAATTCGTTGAACATCTTTAACTGGGGAAGCGTCTTAGCATAAGTGAGAACGAATTTGAGGGACAAAAGCAAGCTAATTTGGAGTTCGATAGAACTTTACCTAAGGGTATCCAAGTAAGTGTCCTTACTATCGGCATAGTTATATTTGATGTTGACACGTGCCTTGTGATTCTGCACGTGTTATATATATTGATATGTGAATTGTTTATGGATCGATATGCTTATGATATGATATATGTATGTTATAAGATGTGAATTGTATGATAATATTTATAGTACGATGTGTTCAATGATATGTTTGAGATAGGATATGAGAATGATGCACTAAACATAATATAAGGATAGGAGTACGATACGTTCATGAAATGTTAAGGTTAGGTTACATATCGAAGTGCTATGAATATGAGATATTGATAAAATCGATAGGGTCACGATCGATTGATAAAAGAATATGGATAGATTATGGGTAGAAATGGACAAGATTATGATAGATTGATAGAACGATCACGTTAAGATACATTCCTGTAATGATATGACTAAGGTACGTTCATGTAACGTTATGACTGTGATAGATATAAGAATGTTAAGGCTATGATAAGTTAAGGAACGATATGACCAAGAAGTGTTTATGATATGATGTGATTAAGATACGACGTGTGAATGACAGATATATCTATCTCTATCTATCTATCTATCTATAGATATATATATATATATATTGATATATGATATGAAACATGTTATGGTACGAGATATGTGACAATTGACATGTTTATAAGATGATATATTGTGATGCGATATGTTATGGTATGATATGTATATGATGAAAATTGTTATGTCTGGAAGTATGAAATGTTATGATATGATATATTTATGCAATTTGAATGATATAATATGATTGACATGCAAAATGACGAACTAGCATGAAATAAAACC